CCAAAACTTTTATTAACTCATAGCATTGACTAGTAATCAAGGAACTTAAAATCACAACAAAGGGGCCCGGGTTGTGGCTTAGTGGTAGAGTGCTTGCCTAGCATGCATGAGGCATTGGGTTCAATCCCTGGAACCACATAAAAATAAACAAATAAAATAAAGATATTGTGTCCATCTATAACAACAACAAAAAAATTTAAATCACAACAAAATAGTGTTCCAAAATGTTAATATCAGCAAAAAATAAATAAATAAAAGTCTGAACATATCAACTGTCAGGAAGAGGAGGAGGGGGAGCCATTCACTGTGGAAGGAGCCCAAGTTGGTGCACACACTGTGGACAACAATTGGTCAGTATCTAGTGAAGCTGAAAATATGCCTATCTTGTTTACTGGTGCATATTAATTATTCAGAACGGGGTTTCACTGTGACATACATGCATGCAACACAATTTGATCAGTTTCATTCCAGTACCTCTCTCTGCCTCCCCTCTATCCTCCCCTGATCCCCTTTCTCTACTCTAATGCTCTCCCTTCTAGCTTCATGAGACCCTCTTCTTTTTCCTCTTTTCCTTCAGGTTTCCACATATGAGAGAAAACATAGTGCTTGCCCTTCTGAGTCTGGGCTTGTTTCCTTTGACACAGTATTCTCCAGCTCCAACAGCTTTTCTACAAATGATGTCATTTTATTCTTCTTTATGACTGAATAAAACTCCATGTGTATCTATACACCACATTTTCTTTATTCGTCTTTTGTCTGATACCTAAGCTGGTTCCATATTTGGCTACTATGAATTGTGCTGTTATAAACATGGGAGCGTGGGCTGAGATTGTGGCTTAGCGGTAGAGCGCTCGCCTAGCACATGGGAGGCACTGGGTTTGATCCTAAGCACCACATAAAAAATAAAAAAATAAATAAAATAAAGGTATTGTGTCCATCTACAACTTGAAAACAATTTTTTTTTGATTTTTAAAAGATAAACATGAGAGTGTATGTATCTCTAAACCATGCTGACTTTAATTATATTGGATAGATACTAAGGAGTGAGATAGCTGATTATTTGCTTGAATTATCAGAGAACTACCAAGGCAGCAACAACAGACCTAGAAAGTAGAAAGCCCACAGAGATGGGCCAGACGCCTCCAAACAGCCTTTTTTTTTTTTTTTT